CTGGTCATTATGTATGATGGAGGGTAGTATGATTCCCAATCTGAGTGCTTTGGAAAGAACTTTGGAAAGGATTTTCAAGAGGGAAATGGGTCTAAAGTTTTGTGGGAGAGTCGGTGGTTTCCCGGGTTTAGGGAGGGTCACCACATGTGCTAGGAGGATTTCCTTTGGCAAGTTCTGTATGGCTATGGCTTATGTGAGAATCTCCACCAGTTGTGGGGCTAGGGTTTGTTTGAAAGTTTTGTAATAAGAATTGTCAAAGCCGTCGGGTCCTGGTGATTTTCCTGATGGCAGTGTGTCGATAGCTTTCAGTACTTCCCCCAATGAGATCGGGCTGTTAGGGCCTGTATCTGTTCCGTGTTTAGTCTGGGGAGGTGGGTGTTGCCCACGTAAGTGTCATTGTCTTTTTGTGTGGGGTGGTGCGTGTTGGGGTCTCTCCTCAGGTTGTAGAGGTCCGCGTAGTAACGTGCGAAGGCGTTGCTAATGTCTATAGGGTTCCTGAGCTTTGCCCCTTCCTTTGAGTGTATGTAAGCTATTTTGTTATTCGCCTGTTGTGTTTTAAGTCTCTGCGCTAGTAGCCTGCTGGCCCTATTGCCTTGGGCATATTCTGTCGCTTTGAACCGTTGTAGGACAAACCCCATCTTGTCCATGGCTTGTTGGTGTATGAGCCTAGAGATGTGTGTGATTTGATCCTTTAGTGTGGGTGTGGGTGCCCTTTGATTTTGGGCATTCAGGCAAAACAGTTCTTGTTGCCACTGCCGTAGTTGTGTTTGTGCCTTTCTATGCTGGTATGATGCCCTCCGTATTAAGAGGCCCCTGATCACTGGTTTGTGTGCTACCCAGAGTGTGCCCTTCGTTAGGTCTGGGCAGTCGTTTTCTTTAAAGTACTGTCCCATCACTTCGCGCAGCTCGTGTGTGAATGTAGTGTCTGTCAGCAGTGAGCTGTTCAGTCTCCATAGGCCCCTGCGTTGAAAGTCGTATTGGTCTTTTAGCTCCAAGGTAACCGGAGCATGATCCGACCAGGTGATCTGCCCTATCTCGCATCTGTCCACCTGGTCCAGTGCTTGTCCCTTGAGGAGGAACCGGCAAAAAGTGTGTATAAGCGCGTTCATTAGTATGAGTAAGTCTCCATACGTCATAGTAATTGTGTGTTGAGTGTTTGGAGGCCCCTACATTGTCTCTGCAGCGGGCGGTAGCTAGCTCTATGCGGGGGTAAGGTTGTGTCTGTTTGGGGGTCAAATATCGCATTGACGTCCCCAGTGATTATAGTGATGCCCTGCTGGATTGCTGCCACCTTGTTTAGTACAGTGTGTAAGAATGATTTCTGGTTGGACGCTATTCAGCAGTCCGACAATTATCACATATCTGCCGTTTGGGTCAGTTTCCTTCTGTTGTAGGGTGAAGGTGACGTGTTTACTTATGAGTATTGAGGTTCCCTTAGACTTAGTGGGGGAAGTGGCGTGGTATTGTGAAGTGTAGTCAGTTAGCCAGCTGTGAACATGGTCGTCGGTCCTATAGTGTGTTTCCTGCAGGCACACCACATCTGCCCCCAGAGATTTTAGTTCCCTGCCCATCAGGTGTTTCTTGACTGGGATATTTAACCTCTTACATTAAGGGTGCAAACTTTCATGGGAGGTCAAAGGTGGGGTTGGTATGATAGAAAGAATGTTGTTGGGTCTCTATTGGTTCGGGACCTGTTCTTCACAGCTCTTTCGAGCAGAACTCAGTCTACCGCATCAGACTGGCATATTGCTCCAACAGGCAGTAGATTTTGGTGGTGGTGGTGGGTAAGACACCCACTTGTGCTATTGTCTCCCATGGATTTGTCCTTTTAATAAACAGTTGGGTTATATGAAGATGGTATGGGGCAGTTGTGGATACTCGATACTTGTGGTGTAGGAGGCATTATTTTTTGTAGCAGCAATGCATCCATGTCTGCCATTGGGTGAAGTGTATTAGTGTTAATTATACATCACAATTATTGGATCAGTGTAGAAAAAAACCTACCCAACTCTGGGTCCACAATAAGGTTCAGGATGATGCCGGGATGCTCTTGGATATTAAAGCACAATGCATCCTTCTTCTTGGGAACTTGTATAACAAAGTGAGGATCTGAATCAACTGTAAATATATTTAATAAAGATATTATCAGACAGATAACTATTGCTCAATATGCATTGTAAGCTTTGCTAGGGGAATATGGACCCCATACACTACAGGAGCTGTCTTAAACTACATAAACTGAAAGCTGTTTTTACTCTTTAGAGTTTTTTTTTTGCCTTTTTAAGTTTAGAAATTATTTATTGAACAAGTGCTGGGGTAGCAGCATTATCTTTTTCAGTGCTTGTAACACATTCCTGTAGACTTGTTCCTGGCTCAAACTGTGATCTTAATTCTGATCTTCCTGGCAGTTTCTCATGCTACTCTGAAACTTATGAACAGACCACAGTCAGCCTAGCTTCATATACATGCATTATACTGTTTCCTGGGCCTCTGTCTAAAATAGGGATTCACTCAGGGCAAAAGGGACAGTCTTGATGGCCCTCTAAAGATACTTTAGGCTCGGGGCAACTGCCCCTATTGCCCTGTGACAAGAATAGTGCTGCATCTGGGTCATAATAACTAATGTGCTTCAATGGATTTAATAATCAAAAATAAAAAAAATAATGTTTATGAAATGTTAATGCTTACCGAATAATGGAATAGTTGGTGGAGGATAACTGTGATGATAGTGTTGAGCTGTAAAAAGGAACCAAATGAAATTAGCTTATACTGAATATATTTAATAGATAAAAATAATTTTAAAAACATGTAAGACTGCCCTAGGATTTAACTACATCTTAGAAATAAAAAGTGAGCCTATGATGATAAAAACATTGTTTAGTCACATGTATTACAATATCCTAACACAATTGCGGTTGTGACTTCAAGTTGGTGGGCACCAGACTGGACACATAGATTTGACTCTATCCCTATTTGTTTCTTTTTAATTCTTTATTTATAGTATTGTTTCATGCAATTTCTGTTGTGGGATATAGCAATGCACACTATCACAGACTTTTCTAAGCTGAGCCATAGCAAGAAATACTATTTAATCTGTATAACAATGTAAACTTAGATCTTAATTCAGAACATGTAAACAGAACTTAACATAAGAGAGTCGTGAGACAATGTTGTTATAAGGAAAATATTACAAAGTTGGGTATAGGGGCGGGGCCGGGCCGCCGAGCGGCTGCAACCCGCTCCGGCAGAGAAAAGCCTAAAACAGCATGAAACTTATAAAATACTCACGATACCTGCTGAAAACTAAAACCAGAGAGGAAATCAGGCGGAGAGGAACTGGGTAGTGCAACGCTAGAGCACCCTTTGAACTCCCGGCTCACACAGCGACCCCTGAGGCCTCAACCACGTTGCGCGCCGTGGGTCCCGCTCATGTAAGTAAGGCGCGGGGGACCTAGTCCGGCCCCGCTCCCCCCCCCACCCGGCTGGGGGGGGGTGATCTCGGCCCAAAGTCGGAACTTCGGGGGCTGGAGGAGGCACGCCCTGTTCACGACGCTCCGGTACACGGAGCTACAATGGCCGATGGATACACAGTACCCACACAGGATCACGGGGCGACTCACATACACACAGCAGAAACCCCGCGCTGAGATACCAGGACGGCGGAACTCTCGACTGGACTCCCCCGGGTGGTGGACGAGTCGATGGAGAGCTAGTCCTGAACCCCGGATTTGGTGGTGGTCCAGGAGAAAACAGCCCCCAACTCTGTGAGCCTGGTGGAGCTGAGAAGCGCAGGCCTGCCGGCAGACCAGTGGCCGGAGGGCACGCGCCGGCAACATGTAAGTGGCCGGAGGAGGATGTGGCAAGACAGGACTGGGGCCCCAGGGAGGCCCTGCTGAAGCTGGGGAGGTGCAGGAGGCGGGAGCCCAGTGTACTCTAAGGTGGGGAGGCCGCTGGACAGCTCCAGTCTCCGAGTGCCCACAGCGGGGTGGTGCCCCCTAAAGACATGGAAACACACCTTGGGGTAGGAAAGGGAGGGGACTGTCACACCCGGAGAGACTCAGGGGGGGTACAGCTGACCCACCATGTGCAGTATCATTCAGAGGAAGCCATGGGGAGGTCATACCAGAGGGAATAAAAGCTACGAAGAAGGCTGCCAATTTCACATCAGATGGCTTCATCACGCCGGGCACCATTACGCCCCCTCCAGCGAAGTGACTTATATGTTAAAAGTTCAAATCTGTTTTGCTAGGGCTAACCATGCTAATGTTTCCTTTTGCATAAGCCCTTGTACATAAGATATACTCTTTAATATTTGTACATCTATTTCACAGCATGCCTGTTGTGCAGTTGATAGGGCAATGTCACAATGCTAATAGCTTCATTAACACCGCGTTACTTATTACCGCTTATTTAATGGCAAGAAACATATGACATAATTTATTAACTACAAATAGGGCCATCAGCTACGTGCATCTTAATGTTTAATTGTTAAATGCCATGTTTTATGCACCGATGTACCGTGCGTTTGGTGCTCTAACCAGATAGGACAAGCATATACGACCCATGCAGAAAATAAAATGTTTCTTATTACGCCCATGAGATTAGATAGTGAATACATATAGGGTACACACAAAATGGGCATCGCTGATAGCTTGAATGGCTGCAAAAATAAACTGCTACATGAGGATACGTTAATCATATGCTTGGTGAACATTTTAGACTCTGCTATACCTATGTAGTCAGACCGTTATGTTACTGTTCTAACTTTGCAGGGAATTACCGATTGCTTAGCACCCGACTTCACAATGATGACGTACACCTATGCTTCTTATAGCTATTACAGGCTTTAATTATTAACATAATATTTTAA